AACTGAATGAAGAAGAAAGAAGAAAAAAGGCAAAATGAAATTAACCAGAATGAAAACAAAATAGATTGTAGGTGGTACTTCTAGCTTACGTAATACAATTAATAGAACAAGAAATTATCATAATAAAAAATTTAAAAAGATATATTAAAGTTTACATTTTAATTTTAAGGGAGTTTGGAAAGGATTATAAGGTCTTACAAGGTTCAATAGAACAGAAAGGTACAAATTTAGAAGAAATTGGTATAGCTGAAATGGAAATAGCCAAGGGAGAAATATACCCTGTAAAATACTAAAATATTGATTGCTCCTTCTCAGCGGTATATATCACTCCATTAATGCCAATTTTCCTGCACAAAAACTTCAGAATCAATATGTCGAATACTAAGTCTTGCATGTTTATGAAATTGCTTCCAAATAATAGAAGTGATGCCATTAATCCCAATTCCTAATGTGGCAGAGCAGTGAAATGAACAAAAGGAGATAAAGCAGTTCTGAAGAAAATGACAAACAGTTCCTGTAAAATGTTCAAAACACTGCAAGTATTGTTTTAAGATTTTTGACATTAATTATCCAGGTAATCTCTGGGTCATATAAACCTGAAGTGAATTTTTTTTCTCCAATGGAATTAAACCTAGCTGTCTAAATTAAACAGGCTATAAACATTTATTTATATGGCAATAGGACTTGAAATCCCCTCTGTAAGATACTATTATTATGTTTTTCCACAGCAAATTATCTTTGACTATAGATTTATTGAATATCCCCATAGTTCAATGACCGGAGATAATGGCTTCTAAAATTAGAAAGCTTCCCCAGTATTACTATAAATTGGGGTAACAGAGCTACAAGAAGTTTCACGTCCTCTGGGATAAAAGACACATTAAAGGGTATTATTTTATTTGAAAGTAAATTAGGAATCCAATCCTTCATAGAGTGAAAAAGCAATGAGAACTGCAAAAACAAGAATTAAGACATATTTATCATTTTCTGCTCAGATGGTGAAACTGAGTCTTTTTATCTGCCATATTTTGTTACTTTCTAGAAACTTGAATTGGACATAATGTTACACTCTAGTTTAATGTTACAAGCTATTCTACAAACCACCAAGGGCAGTATAAAATTAAATCAAGAGAGCAACTAATGCAGAGGGATATACTTGTCAATGGTTTTCTCAATTACAATTATCAGAAAGATTCAAAACAGATAAAAATAATTATGGTATGGAGCAAAGTAAGACAGAATTAGAAGTGCAATTGTATATCAATGATGAATATGTAGTTTCTAAAATGTACAAATCTCACCTTCAAATTCAAATTCAAATCCATGACTTATTTTAAATTTAATTATTTTTGAAAAAGGCATCTCAATGAATGATAAGTGGATATTGACTTATTTCAACATGCCATCACTTTGATTACTGTAGTTCACTCTAGGTAAAGATAACAGCTGACATAGCTGCTGTGCAGGGGAATAGAATAAATAGAATGTGACTCTGAGTCTCACTTCTTCATTTATACAAAATGTAAGCAGGTCCATTGAACCTCAATGCAATGTCAGTGAGTTAAGAGTGAACATGTACTTTTACTTAACAAAGTTAGAGGTAATGCAGAACTCGGCGACTGAAAGTAATGTAAATAATCTGTTTATTCCAGTTATCTCTGATACAGTATGTATAATTTTCAGATGTCTATAGTTTCATTCATATGCTGATTCATGAATTTCCATATTAGAAATAACTGAAAAGCTTGAAAAAAAAAGTACTTGTACATTTCAGTTTCATGTGCTTCAGTGATATTGTCTAGATGCTTATCTATCTACCCATTCTGTTGGGCCATCTAATTGGAACAATTATCAATGCTGTACATGACCAATCCAAACAGTTAATGTTTCTGCATATTATAACATACCATACCACCATGTGTCCTTTGTTCAGCTTACCTCATCTTAGAAGAAACGAATAGTTTCTTGTGTAGTTCACTATAGACTCACAACTCTCATTTTATTTATCCCAGGTTTAAAAAAACAATGATTGAAATAAACAGAGAATATTCAATGCAGGCTATACTAGAGCATTTTTATCTCTTTACCACTATTTTGTTCTTGTAGGGACTCTTCATACCATCCATAAATATCTTTGCAATACAATGTCTGCCCCATAATAATGTTTACTTGGCAGAATTCAATGCCCTACATTTAATGTTTATTTTTTGTGATTTAATATAATTTCTTTTCTAGAATGCCTTTGCATGTGATAACTTCCAGATGCAATATACAACTGCCCACCAAACTGTGGGAAAAACCACCACACTGTGGGCAAAATCACTAAAAACTCTCTTGAATGTGGGTGTACATTATTAGGTCTCTTAGAATTGCAATTCTAATCTGTCCTCTACACCAGGGGCCTCCAACCTTGGCAACTTTAAGCCAGGAGAATTTCAACTCCCAGAATTCTGGGAGTTGAAGCCCACCAGGCTTAAAGTTGCCAAAGATGGAAACCCCTGCTCTACAGTGGCTGAAATTTAGGAGGAGGCAACAATATACAGTGTAATATTAAGGCATTTGTGATTTTCTCCATCAAATATTTTTTTAAAAAATACTGTATACATGACACAACTATGGTTATTACTCTTTAATTAGATAATTTTGCTCTTTAAAGGTCTGGTTTTCTAGTTTGACATATCAGAAGAATACAATATTACATTCAGCAATCATAAACATATACAGAAAGTGACAGAAATGGATGCATCCAGCTCTTCCACATTTATACTAATTGGTAAGGTTTACAATGTTTATGGCATTATATTTTGTTAATTGGGCTTAGTTGGACTGTGAATTTTCACAGTGGGCAGATATTCATGTTTTCTTAATAATATGAAAAGGTTTGAGATGAAAAACCAAGGCGAGAAATTATAGCTTTTTGTCCTTCATTTATTATTTTTTAACACCCATTATTATTCATGTCAGACAAATAAATAAATTTGTATATATGATTCCATCTCTATATTCTTAGCAGGAGCATCTTTTCTTTTATAACTTTTTAATATTCTATGCTGCATCATTTTTCCGTCTTCTTCACTATTTTCTATTCACAAAATTGGCTCTTGGAGATTGTGTTGAACTAAGGTTTTAGACTTAATAGTATTTCACAAATCATTAACACACTTGCTTTTGGTACATTGCTATACATAGCCAAGCATCTGACTACATATTGCTTCTGTAGACTTTTCTTTAAGCATAATAAAGTAACATAGATTTTTTTAAAAAAAATTCTAGATGCATATGTGCATGTAGCTCATATTAACAAGTATGGATTTTAATGGTGTAATAAATTGCATTATGAATTCATGAGTTTTAAGTAGTGGAAGTTTATATTTACACAACAGTATGTCTGACATTATTTCATTATTAGTTGAAAGGACATGATATTTGCCACTGACAAAAAGCAAAGTATTTCTATCCAGAAATCTTTTCATTTTAAGTCATTGATTAAGACACACCTAGTTTATACAAGGTCACTGCAAAGATAAGATTTATTTATTTATTTATATTTCATGTTTTTAGACTACACATCTCCCTCAACGAGATGCTGTCAACTGAACGAAATTTTTACTATAACCTCCAAACATTTATCAGCAGCAGATGTATTCTTCCAGAAATTATAACACTAGTAACTGCTCAGAAGAAATACAAAATGATAGGCTATTAACTGAACTGTTCTAACAAAAGTTGAGACAAAGGATACTTCAAAATCATTAGCAAAGCCTACAGAATATGTAAATGCATCATATACTATGATTTCCCCCCGAAATTGTTTTACGTCAAAATGAATTCATGGAATGAAAACTTCTATTCCAACAATCCCATTGTGGGGATGGGAGACACTCCAAAGCAATATGAGAATATAATAAGGGATAGTTTAGAAAGAGTGACTAGAAAATAGCAAATATCATATTTTCTTGTAGTAAATCCTTAACTACATGAAATGTTTGGAAACTCTGCCCAAACTCTGCAAAACAGCTGTGGGATGAATAGGGGGTGACGGAGGATTGAAGGTGGGAAGAAGAAATGGAAAATATATTTCCATTGTGTATTAAAGTTCATTTTAAAAGGTTTTGTATTTTTAGGTTTTATTTTATGTTATGTACATTTTTAAATGTAACCAACCTGAAATCTTTTTGGAGTAGGCACCTCAAAATCAAACCATCAATCAATCATTCTAAGCCAATACCTTCGTGTATTTTGATATATGCTGGTGTATAACTTTTGGTATTTTTTTAAATAATAATGTTTATATCATAGACACACAATTAACCTCTATCTAATGTATGATCATCATGATGTATGATACAAATTAAATATTAGCATTTATTCAAAACAATAAAAAACTGCAAAGCTCAAATTTGTTTTACAGAGACTCCCTACAAACTAACATCTCATACAATATCCAGCATACACAATCAGCATGGCTGTTTGCTGACATTCTGGGAGTTGCAATGCCAAGATCGTTTAGGAAAACTGATGTATATATATCATGGTATTTTTCTTTAATATTGAGTTGAAAATCAACCAAATTATTTCTGTAGTGTGGCATATTAATGTCATAAATGTCATCTTAACTGATAACAAATTGCACGTGGAACTAATAATTAATTTCCCATTACTAGTTTTAAGTGGTTAAGATGCTATTTCTTTTTTCCAAGTGTGTAATATTTTGTGTGTGCTGAAGTCATGATTGGAAGTTTTCATCATAAACTGAGGTCACCAATGAGCAGACCCATTTGAAGCAGGTCATTGGTTGTACAGCCAAACCAAAGTAAGAATCAATTTCTTAATGAACAAAATTTACAATGAAAAAACAACCCTGCAAATATCAGCTGTATATTTAAAATGCCAATTGTTTGGCATAAACAGGCTATACTATAAACTGATATACAAAAAGGGGAAAATGTTAGAAAATGAGGCTAATTCAAGGGTTTTATTTTATTGTAGTCAAGACCTACTTTCTCATAGTACTTGATCTCGTAGTCCAGAATGGCTCCATTAGGAAAAGCAGGGTCTTGCCATGACAGGGCAATGCTGTTTTGGGAAGCCCAGTCCTTCCTGACCATACCTATCAAGGAGGGTGCTGAAAAGGAAAAGGATAACTCCAGGTTAAATACAATGCAGTGTATTTAAATCACCATAAAGAGATAACTTGGAATGATGCTATATGGTTTGATCAACGGATACCTCTTTGCAAAACTAAATAAGTGGTGATAGAACAGGGGTGTCAAACTCAAGGCCCATGGGGCTGCTCTGGAAATAATGAAGGACCGGTTCACAGTGCTTTTGCCAGTGAAATGTTGCATAAAAGTCAAGATGGTGATTGTGAGCATGTGATAAAAGTCTACCTCTTTGTACACATGTGTATTGTCAATATATGTTCATGGGCTCTTTCACTTCAGGGTTCATAATATTCTCTGCATTTTTTTTGAACCCCCCTGCTTTGCATTAGTAAATCTTAGTACTTTAGATTAGCTTCTATTAAATCTATCTGTTCCTCTTGAAAGTCACTATGTCTTTTCCTGGGATTGGATGGCTGTCACATGATTCTGGGAAAAAAATGAAACTGTTTTAAAAAGTTGCAGATAAGTGCTATATCATAGCTGGTATGCACCAAAGACTTTGTAAGTGGATGTACTACCCAAATAAATGTACTATTAAAATTGGATTTACTTAGAAATGTGTTGAAATGGAACCAAATAGATGTCTCTAGTATGCAATGGTTCATAGTACATATTACATTTCTTATTTCAGTGACCATAAACGATAAGAGCCCCTGATTATAACATCGAACATGCAAACAAGCCAAATACACTACTAACATGGGCAGCATCTTGCCCACATGCTTTTATCTTTCTTGGTGACTTCAATCTACCTTATATTAACTGGACCCTTAACAAATGTACAACTGAACCCACACATGCAACCTTCTACAATGCAGTAAAAAATCTGGGACTAGGAACAACTAGTAACCAACAACACTAGACATAACAACTGCCTCAATCTCATCTTCTGCAATAGTTTGAATTCAATTTACGGAATACAAATTAAAGAACCCTTTTCCAACAGTGACCACAACATGATTGACTTTTGTCTCAACATACATCCACAAAAAAATAATCACAATGACGGAATCCCCAATTATAACTTCAAAAAAGGCAACTATGAACTTATAAACAACGATCTCTCATCCCTTGATTGGCAATTTCTATTCACTGGATGCAATACTGTAGAAGACCATTACAACATATTTTTACTTGAAGTTAAAAGAGTCATCAAACTTATTACCCATAACAATAAGGAAGCTTCAATCCAAAAAGAAATCAATTTGGTGGAAAAACAAATCTAGTCACGTTGCCAACTTCAAAAGCTGATACAAAAATGTATGCCACCAGATAAAAACTGAATGCACCAATTATCACATTAAACAAGAAGAAAACCTTCTATGCACCAATTCCACCTGTGCTTTCTACAATTTTGTAAACAACAAACTAAAAGACTCAAAATCCATCCCACCCCTGAAAAGACCTAATGGTAAAGTCTGCAATGACGACACTATTAAAGCCAACCTCTTTAACACATTCTTTGGCTCAGTATTTGTAAACAGCAATGGATCATGCCCAGTATTTCCTAGTCGAACCACAGACAACTACAATGATCTAATACATATTGATTTTACAATAGACAATGTTGAAAAAGCACTATGCAATCTAAAACCATCTCTATCTAGTGGACCAGACGGAATATGTACCTACTTCTTAAAAAAGCTATCCACTGCCATAGCCGAAGCATAATTTTTGTAAAATCTTTCAGGACCAGATCCTTGCCAAAACTATGGTCACAAGCCACGGTCATCTCCATCTTCAAAAAGGGAGACCCCAGCCTAGTTGAAAATTACAGACCAATCTCTTTATGCTGTGTCACCTGTAAAGTCATGGAATCAATTATTAATCAATCCATCATCCTTCACTCAGAAACAGCTTACTCTCTAATAAACAATTTGGTTTCAGAAAAAAAACTATCATGTAATCTGCAACTCTTACACTGCAAAAACATATGGACTACACAACTCAATCAGGGCAAAGCAATAGATGCAATCTACATAGACTTCTTTAAAGCCTTTGATTCAGTGGTACATGACAAACTACTCCTAAAACTAAAATCTTACGGTATCTCTGGACACCTGCATAACTGGATAGAAGCATCAGACAGACAACAAATGGTCAAAATTGGGAGTGTCCTACCAACAGTGTCAACAGTGGTGTCAACAGTGGTGTCCCCCAAAGCAGTGTTCTAGGACCAACTCTTTTCATACTCTACATAAATGACCTCTGTGATCATATCAAGAGCAACTGCATTCTCTTCGCTGATGATGTAAAGCTATACAACACCACAGACAACACTGCTACCCTTCAAAAAGACCTTGACTATGTATCAGAATGGTCAAACAAATGGCAACTTCAAATCTCAACAAATAAATGCTCTGTCCTACATATGGGCAAAAAAAATATCAGAAAATAAAATACAGGCTGGATAGTCAAGACCTTGTTGATGATCCAAACTCTGTCAAGGATCTTGGAGTACTCATCTCTAACGATCTAACTGCTAGAGCCCACTGTAACTACATAGCCAAAAAGGTGTTAAGAGTTGTTAATCTAATCTTATGTAGCTTTTTCTCTGGTAATATTACACTACTAACTAAAGCATACAAAACATTTGCTAGACCAATACTCGAATACAGCTCATCAGTCTGGAACCCACATTACGTATCTGATATTAACACAGTTAAGGAAGTCCAGAAATATTTCACAAGAAGAGTTCTCCACTCCTCTACTCTTTGCAGAATATCTTATACCACCAGACTCGAAATTCTAGACCTACAAAACCTAGAACTATGTCGCCTTCGGTCTGATCTACATATAGTATATAAAATCATACATTGCAATGTCCTACTGTCAATGAATGCTTCAGCTTCAACCATAACAACACAAGAACACACAATAGATACAAACTCATGGTTAATCACACCAAACTTGATTGCAGGAAATACGCCTTCAGCAACAGAGTGGTCAATGTTTGGAATACTCTACCTGACTCTGTGGTTTCTTCCCCAAACCCCAAAAACTTTAACTTTAGACTGTCTACTATTGACCTCACCCCTTTCCTAAGAGGTCTGTAGAGGGCGTGCATAAGTGCACCAATGTGCCTACCGTCCCTGTCCTATTGTTTCTTTTATTTTTCTATTTTTCTTTTATGTATCCATGTATTCATAACTATGTTTTTACTTATACCTATTATCTTGTAAGCAATTGACAAAATAAATAAATAAAATAAATAAAACATATTAACTGTTATCCTGTCGGAAGATGTTATAATGAAACTTAAGAGGTACTGCCTCTTCAGGACATTTTTCAAATAATGATATGATTTATAATTGTTCATAATGCTAATTTTATGTATCAACAACAGCCTATGAAAACAACTAATGTAGGAGACATTATAAAGGATTCAAAATTATTACAGAGCCTGATCTAAAAATGTGGATTTTTTATTGATATCTTCCATACATAGACAAATACATTTGTTTTTTATATTTACTATGTAAATAACCACTACATAGGATCAGAGATGGGCTGCTGCTGGTTCGGACCAGTTCACCTGAATTGCTTGTTCCAATTCTGTGCAGTTCAGAGAACTGGCAAATCAGACCACTGGTTGGCCCCACCCTGCCCATTTTTCAGGCTGTTTTGGGGGCCATTTTCAGGGCATTTTAGGCCATTCTTCAGTCCAAACATGCCCCCCAAAACATCCTGAAAATGGTCCCAAACCAGCCAAAACAGGCTGTTTTTTGGCCATTTTTGGCCATTTTTCAGGCTGTTTTGGACCAAAAAAACCAGCCTGAAAAATGGCCCAAAAACGGCAGACATTGGCCCCACAAATGGTCCATTTTTGGGCCATTTTCTTGCCCTCTTTGAACCAAAAATGGCCTGAAAACAATCTGAAACGTGGACTAAAAATTCCCCCCAAAACAGGTCATTTTGGGGCTGTTTTCAAGTGATTTTGGGGCTGTTGTCTGGTCATTCTTCAAGCTGTTTTCAGGCCATTTTTCTTGCCAAAATCAGTCCGAAAACAACCTGAGAATAGCCCAAAAACTGGCTGTGACAGGGAGAGTAGCCAGATGAGCCATACCCAGATGCTTCCCCATACTCTCCCCTCTCTGCTAGCCCCCTTCTTCACACAGGATCACACAGAGAGGGAGAGAGGGGCAAGAGTTTTTGTGTGCTCCTGTTTCTGTGTGGCACTCTCTCCATAATGCTAGTGGCCGCCGCTGCCCCCTTCTTCCTCTCTGACTCCTTCTCCACTGCTTGGAGATCCTATGTGAAGAAGGGGATAGTAGAGAGGGGAGAGTGTTTGGTTGCTGCTTCTGGGATGAAGGAATGTGGGAAGCAGCTGGGTCCAGCTCACCCAGCTTCTTTCTCTTGCAGCCAGATTTCCCAGTCTAGCTTGATGAAGGCTTCCTCCCCAGGCCCCCATCCATTTTCCCTTTGGCTGGACAAAGCTAGGCAAAAAGCTGGTCCTCACTGGTGCCAGCCTATCCAAGAGCGGGCTTAGAAAGAGCAATGTGAGCTGCGCTGCTGCCTGTGTCAAGCTAGACTGGTGAAGGAGAACATGAGCCAGGCAAAGGTGTGAGCGTGGGGCATCTGCAGCATGATGGGCCTGGTAGACTTTCTAAGCCTGCCTGTGTCTATGTGTGAAAGAGAGAGAGAGAGAGAGGGAGGGAGAGAGAGAAAGAGGGAGAGAGATCCAATCCAATCTTGGAGAGTTATATCATGGTTGGCTCTCTCTCTCTCTCTCTCTCTCTCTTTCTCTCTCACACACACACACACACACACACACACCTGGATTCCCTCCCCAACCCTGCCTGTCCCATATAGGGACCACCCACACAAGTGATATAGAGTTGGCCATGCCCACTCAGTCACATGACCCTCCCAGTCATGCCCACCCAGCTATGCCCACCCAGCCAATCATTAGGGCAGAGAACCAGTTATTAAAAAAGTTGTATCCCAGTACTGCAGAGCA